TTACAGTTGTTGGATTGAAACATGATCAGTTGCACATACAGTTTTCACAGTTTGATAGTTGAAGATCAGATGTAACTAATCTTCTGAGTTTTCTCATTATTTAAACTTGTTCAAATGAGTTTGTTTTGGTTTAAATTCAAAATCAAAGTTTAAAAGAAGTCGAGCAAAAATAACAGGTTCGAAGTAGATTTCGAAGGATTCATACTTATCACCCACAACCATTATCAGGGAAGAAGTTGATGAGATCTGCTGATTTTGGATAAGCACAAAGAAAGTTCAAGTATATCCATATGGAATGGTTCTCACACTGTATTTAAACACTCTCCCTCACACACTTGAATAGAGATCAGATCCAGATAAAAAAGTGCAAAAATGAAAAAATTTGAGAGAGACGTCCCATGTTCCCACCATCATCTTCTCAATCTTAGGAACATGTAAAACCCAAAGACCAGCAAGATTGAGAAGTTTTCCCACCATCATCTTCTCTATCTTAGGAACATGTAAAACCCAAAGAGAGATATCTGCAAGTCATACTCACTTCAAGGTTACAAGTGTTGGAAAGGAGCATAGGAGTGGAGAATGATGCCCCTGTGTGCAGGTATACGGGCATGGTACGCTCAGGCACTCATATTTCCTTTCTTTCTCTTCTCTTTATATATTTTTTTTTTTCTTTGAGTCTGTAATCCTTTAACATGGATTTAAATTTCTTGAAATTCCTCACTATCCCATTATATTTGTAAAAACCCATTTCTGTAATTTCAATCATAATGAAAGCAGTTTTAGAGAATTTGTTCTTCATTATGGGTGATGCTCATGTTTGTTTTGGAGTTATTTCAATATAAAAACTTGTCTTCTGCGCACATTTTGGGGAAACAAATCTTTGGAAGCACCTTCTTCAATCTCGAAGTCAAGTTTTTAGCAATAATATTATACAAATTGACAACAAGACTGATTGGGCGTATATCATTTAAACTTTTCATGATAGTCTTCGTTGTAATTAGAGCAATACATGTCGAATTAATATTTTTGCTAATGAGTCCCCTTTGAAAAAATTCCTCTACCATTAGAACAACATCACGTTTCACCATACTCTAGAATTTTTTAAGGAACATCAGTGGGTAGCCATTTGATCCAGGTGCTTGATCGCCAGCCAAAGCAAAAATAGTTTCTTTCATTCCCTCCATGGAGATGTCAGAATCAAAAAACCTGCCTTCAAATGCAATTTGAAAAGGAATATTAGAAAATTCAATCTATAAACTCAGAGAAAAAATATTAATTATTTAAATTTTCCTTTCAACCACTTTAGTCTCGTCCTCAGTCTCCAGTAAATCTCTTAAAGTCTGAGATAATCAATTAACTTATTCCTGTGCTCCATTCTCTTGACTTTCTGCTCTTCCTAAAGTCACAGCTCTTATCCATGATAAGTATTACAACTTTTTGGTCATGCAATATCTAAACCATATGGACTATTGTATTCTTTATTAGGTCAATGACTTCTTCTCTTCTAACCAATCTAAATATTTTGGGCTCTATTATCTTTCTCAGTTTGCAATAAAATGGGCTTGTGGTCTGATGATTACTTGGTATGCTTTAGCATTTAGTGTTGTAAAGAGTTCTCCCCGTTAAATAGAGATAAAAAATGTGCCCAATTTCGACATAATCAAATTCGACACAAGTAGTTGTGCAACTCATACAATAAACTAGATAAATAATTCAAAAACATCTTCGTATCCCAACATAATCACGAATCCTAATTAAATTAGAAGTTTCTAATGATAACTCCTAACTTTATCTTACTAAAAAAACTAGCTCAAAATAAAAACCCTTATAAACAGGATATTTACATATGGGTGCAGTTTGTATAGAGCCCAGGCTCTAAACAACAATCAAAGTAAAGAGCACCATCAAATAGTGCCGAGAAATGTGGTTTTAATACTTCAAATATTTGTGATATCTTTCAAATATATTTTCATTTTTAATTATAAACTTTAAAGCTTAAAAAATAGTGTAGTGTAGATTAAGCATATCTATGAAAAGTTGAAAATCTTGAAGATTGACTTTCAAAAATATGAAAAGTTGAAAATCTTGAAGATTGACTGTCAAAAAATACGATACAAGATCACTATTTCCAAAATTTGAAATCCATTTTATTCTCATGTCCATAGATCTTGGAGGATGTTCAATAAAACTCATTTGATCTTGTGCGGCTTATACCGCCTCTGCCTGCGTTTTCCCTATGAAGTATGTAAGATTTGATGAAGACTCCTCACTATGAAGTATGTAAGATTTGATGAGGACTCCTCACGACTCCGAGTTGTTCTCTGAACTTTGTAATTTGCCACTTTGCAGAACCCTTCACCTCATTGATTGAAATACCAGACAATCTCAGGTCTGCCAGAAATACCAGTGTACCTATGCTGCATCTGCATACTTCGAATTTGGTTTTCGAATCTTTAAAGACATTCACAGTCGTATTTTGATAACTCCACATTCTTCAAGATACTCTAGTTATGGCGTTCGCAACTCCTCATCTGAAAAAGTAACCTATGATCCATTCGCTGCATCACGAATTTCTTGTACGCATGCATGTCTTCCACAAACTAACTTGCTCGTGGAAGTTCCATCACCCAGTGGCATGGGTGACAATTATCACTCCTCAATCACGTCCACAACACGATGGGTATAAAATTCTTTCTCACCACCAATTATGAAATTTAAAGCTCCAAATAGAGCAAATCTATAAACAATTAAACTTTTTCAAAATGATGGTCCAGATAGTGATGTGCCATTTTTATGGCTTGAATTCAATTTTTTCCTATTCTATTGAGGGGTGATTAGTTTGAGCGTTTTCCAACTTCAAACAACCTATTCTAATGGGTTTTTCTGAGGTAAGCCTTACTTCAATAGGACAAGGCGTGGGCCTTGTGCAAACTTTTTCCCAAGTGGAAATGTGAAGGCAAGAAAAGAAAACCTTTATATAACTAAACAATCTTAATTAGAAAAGGTTGTTTCAATGTTGAAAAACCTTAAAGTCTATCATCTCAATCTCAAGATGCATGGATATGAGAAAAAATAGATTTCAAATCTTAGAAACAATTTTCAACAATGATTTAAAAATCGGTGACCTGATCCAGAATCCGGCGATTCGAATCAGGAATCGCCATGACCATCCCGAATCCAGTAAAAAACTTCGATTCGATCTATTCAGAATTGTAGACTCGCCGATTTTTTCACATAACCGCCGATTCCGTTGATTCATTTTTTTTTGACAAAGAAAGAGTGGTAAGTCAGCGAAAAAAAAAAGGATGAAATTTTTTTTTTTTTTTTGACAAAGAAAAAGTGGTAAGTCGGTGGGTATTTGGGCCCCTATCTTTTTGGTCAGAATGGAGTCAGAGACCTCATCATGAGGCTCGGCAATACTACCGCCAAGCCCTAGGCCATTCAAGTTTTTTCTTGAATTATAATTTTTTAAAAATTTGGGGAGAAAAATTGCCAATTTCGCCTATTCTTTCGATCCGTTCTACCGATTCCCCCGATCATACAAGGCAAGGTTTAAAAAATCGGTGACCTGATCCGAAATCGGGCAATCCGAATTGGAAATCACCCAGGACGCTTCGGATTAGGCCAAAGAGGGATTCGAATGGTTCCAAATAGTAGAATCGCTGATGTTTTTACTGAATGATTGTTCATCGAGTAAAAAAAAAGGATGAACATTTTTTCTTGAATTAATATTTTAAAAAAAAAATTGACACAGGTATGGGTGGGTTTGTGTGACCGATTCAAGTTACCTATCAGCTTTTTTTTACACACGGTGACCTATTCAAGCATCCAATCCTTTTTTAAACATTGATTTTCTACATTATTTTTAATTTTATAATTAGAGATGGAAATAAATTTGCAAGCACCATTTGAAAATGCACCTATGTTTAGGGCCTGGGCCTTGCACAAACCACACCCCTCATTGAAAAAGTAATGTCGGCGAAAATTCCCATATTCGAATTCAAATCAAATCTGCAAAGTATAAATGCGAAGGCAAGTTCCCATTGAAATGGTGAAAGAAAAAGTAACGTACTCGAAAATTCGTGAACGGAAGGATGCTACAACTGTTTCCACAAATGGCGTCACGTCGTCATCCACATTATCATTCATTCTCATCATACCATCACATGACATGACATGACATGATAAAAGTAGAGAGAGAAGGAGACATGAAAGTATCACATGACATGATAAAAGTAGAGAGAAAAATAGATGATAGGAGTGAGAGAGAGAGAGAGATTGATCAATCATAACAACAAATTACCAAGTTGAGAAAAAAAGTAGAGAGAGAGAGAGAGATTGATCAATCATAACAACAACTTACCAAGTTGAGAAAAGAAATAACAACTTGCTAACTCGAAATCATTCCCTAATAAATCCTCTCACCCTCTCCTCTCTCTAACTTCTCGCACCTTTTCAACACTCTCCCCAATACCACCCTCTCCCTCTCTAATTGTCAAAGACGACCCAAAAAAGTGGGTCGTTTTTTAGTAAGGGTGCGGTTTGTATAGAGCCTAGGCTCTAAACATTCAAATCAGAGCCTATTTTTAAATAGTATTGAGATTTGTGGTTTTAATGTTGGAAATCTCTTTAAAATATGTTTTTATGTTTATTTATAAAGTTTAAAGCTTAGTTTATAAAAATTTAAAAATTTTAAAAATTGATAATAAAAAATGTATTATAAAATATATTATTTTTAAATTTTAAAATCTATTTTTTTTATATATGTATATCTTGAATACTAGATAATCAATATGAGAATATTTGAGCATCAAAACAACCTCTTGTAATGAAATTTTTAAGATAGGCTCCAATACATAATGATGTCGAGATGATCAATATGAGGACATAAGGTAAGCTCCAATGTGATTGTTTAGAGTCTCGGCTCTATGTAAACTTTTCCCTTTTAAATCAGCAGGAAAGAGAACCCAAATATGCTACTATAAGAGTCCTCGCACTCCTGCATACTATAAGAGTCCTCACACTCCTGCATTTGCCTCTCTCAAAACCCCCCCCCATAAAACCCCAAACCTCTCTCTCTCTC